ACTATTTGCCTATGATTTTTGCAGTTTAGATGACATTATTTGATGTAATACATTTATAACTAATTTAATATGTGAATTCATTTAGAATACCTTGTTTTATATATATTTTTTCTAAATCTAATATATATCTATAAAATAATTATTCTTTTTGCTTTCAATATGGAACAACACTTAAATAAAAATATAGGACATGACAATTAAAAAAAATTAACAAAGCCCTTGATCAGGTGAGAGAGTAAAATATTATTTTGTAAAAGTTTTAAGTTGACATGATGTTTAAGCTCACTTGTATGACTTTCTCATGACTCAATATGATACTCTAATCCAATAATGATATCAGAGTTGATCGATGGCGGTGGTCATTCTAAATGAGTATTGAGTACATTAGTGATGAATCCGTGAGAGAGATCCTTGTATATTGGTGATGGACTCAAGGAATCCTTATTTGTATTAATCGTCTTTGTAACCCTTTGGAGAGAGCGAAATAACAATACAAGAGAAGCATTATTAGGACAAATGGTATGCTCCAATAAGATGATACAAATAATTAACACAATTCTTGATCAGGTAATTAAGAAGATAAAGTATTACTTTTTGTAAGTGTTATATCAACGTATAATTGACATTAATTATAACTAGTTTAGTAGCTAATGTAATGGATAAGTATTTTACTTTATAATAAATACATATAATTTAATAACTGATAATAAAATTTTATATTTTGGTAAAAGATTTTATATATGAAAATAATTACTTTAAACAATAACCTTTTTAAAATAACTTAACTCTATAATTATGATTAATATGTATCAAAATGATAAAAAAAATAAAATTAAATAACATAAAAATAATTTATTTTATAATACTTTTATCATATATGAAAAAAAAATTCACATAAAAGTCAATAATCAATATATATTAATAACCATAAATTTAAAACATCAGATCTTAAAAGTAAAATCCAAATTCAAAAAAATAAGCATTGTTAATTGTTTGTTTGAAATATTACATCCTATCTTCAAACTCTAATTTTAATATATTTCTTAAAAATTAACACACTTTCACGATTATTTTAAACTATATTTAAATTGATAAAGTCGATAATTTTCCTCAAAAGGTTTGAATTTATTTTATTTTTATTTTTTTTGAAAAAATTCAATGTAATACTCTTACTGCATAATTGTATATTGTTTTATTTTGTAAATGTTTTTTTTTTAAAAAAAAGAGATTTGTGCAAGTGATTTTCCAGTAATTTAAGCTTTATGAGTTGAGAGTCTTTTTGTTAGTTATTTATATAACATCTTATTTGTCTTATATAATATAATATCAATTTGATATAGATGATGATGTTACATTTACACTTTTCGTTTCTTTTGTATTCTTAAATTTAATTTCAAATAATCTTATAACCTGAGATTTTGTTATGAAATATAATGCTTTGAATGACATATCTTATTTATTTTATGTTCTAATCAAATTTTATGAAGTAACTCAATTAAATGTTATTTAAGTAAATAATAAAATAACTTAACCAACATACATACAAAAAATAACTTTTGGAAAATAAGATTATATTTTAAATAATGATCAAATTTTTAAAGATCAAAACTTTATTTAAGCCAAGCAACTATAATTTAAGTTACATAATCACATAATATTTCTAAGTAATGAAAACACACAAGATATAAGTATATTCTATATGAAGAACATAAACAACTATTGTCTCTAACTCATTACTCAATCTAAGAATTACAAGCTTAAATATTAGACATGGGAGAGGATGAAGTCTTTAAGGAACTGAAAATAATAAAAACAATGTGAATATCTTAAATGTATAAATGAAATGAAAATATGTTGAATTGCTTCCAAAAAAAAGTATAAAAATAATCCTATTTACAAAAAACAAAAAACAACGTTAACATGTTTCAATCAAATAATATTGAAAAATAACAATATTATTTGATTGATGATAAATAACGATAATCACTTTATCAGAAATATATTTATCACAGTAACGATCATCACTTTACAATAAACATAACTGCTACTCCGACATAAACATTGTGAGCTACAATCTTCAAGAACTTCAGATAAGTATGCCGTCAACAACAGACTAAACTTCCCCAAAAGCCAATAATAAATCCAAAACTCATGCTCATTTTAAACTTTTGCTCACTCATTATACATACCGATTAAGCTATTTTAATTTACACTATCCTAGTCGTTTATCAAAAACATTTATCAAGTACTATGATTTACAATTTAATTATGAAAAGAAAGAGAAGAAAGTGCACTTTTATAATAACAATTAATATTATTTTATTATTCACAAAATAGTCACTTTTAAGTATTAAACTACATTTCATGAGAGATTCTTTACATAGGTGATGGATCCGAATCAAGAAATTCTTGTTTGTATTGATAGTCTTTATGACTCTTTGGAGAGACAAATTCTTTACGTGGTATGCTACGACAAGAAAATAAAAAATGTTTATTTTTTCTTTCAATATCCAACAACACTTGAATAAAAATAAAGGATACGATGATAAAAAGAATTAACATAGTTCTTGATTAATTAATTAAGAAAGCAAAATATTATTTTTTATTAAGTCTCTTATATTAACATCTTAATTATAAGTAGTTTAGTCACTCACAAGTATTTTATTTTATAATAAATATATCTAATTTAATAATTAAAAAATAAAATTTTTTCGTATGTCTAGTTTCAAGAAATATTTTATTGGATTAATATATTAAATATAATAATTTTATACTTGCGTCTCTTCTCTATATCTATTATCTGTAACAAATATAATTATATAGTCAGTATTTTGTCTTGATTAGTTAATGATACTAGTTATAACTTGTGTTTTACATCTTATATACTAATTATTTTAAGCCTTAATAAAATACTTTTAAATAAATTTAAGCGATTTTCAAATAATTTTGAGCTTAATGAGATGAGAGTATTTGATCCTGTAACAATGATTGATTCACCAATTTGTCTTTTTAATTTTCTTATTTTTTTTAATTCTTGAAAATTGAAAATAAGGCAGTGTAAAATGTTAAAACTTTATTGGAGCAAATATTTTTAACTAAAAATTTCTTTGTGAAAATAAAATTTTGATTATAAAGTCATTTAAGTAAATTATTATTAAAATATGTGATAATTTATATTTCATTACAAGCACAATACTACTAAAAGCATAATGACAACTTTAGAATGTTCAAATATTCAACTTCAAACAACTATGTTTACATAATTGTTTTTATTTGATATTTTATTTTTAATTTATTTTAAATAAGTCTCTTAATTTTTTTATATTGTTTTATTAATGATTTTTTCATAATTTTCATAATTTATTTATATAATATTTGACTTGTCTCATGTAATACAGTATGAATTTGTCTTTTTATATTCCTAAATTATTATTTCAAAAGTCATAATCATATAAATTAAAATTTTATTTTGAAATATGATACTTTATATGACATGTCTTATTTATGTCATATTTTAATTAAACTATATGAGATAACTCAATTATATGCTCTTTAAGTAAATAATGAAATAAGTTAACCAATATACATAAGAAAAACAATTTTTTATAAATTAGATTATTTTAAATAACCAAATAAAAAATTGTAAATATTTTAATTGCCAAAACTTTATTTAAGCCAAATCACTATAGTTACATAATCACATAATATTTCTGAATAATCAAAACACATAACATTCAAGTATATCCTATTGAAAGAAGAAACATAAAGTGACCGTTGTTTCCAACTCATTATTCCGTAAAAAAAACTTGCTTTCCCCAAGAATTACAAGCTCAAATATTGGATATGCAAGAAGATGGCGTCTTCAAAGGACTGAAAAATAATAAAAACAATGTTAGTTTCTATAATTTTTTAATTAAATTCACGTTTTTTTAAAAAAAAATTCAATGAAATCATTATAACTTTACAATTTTTTAGTTAAATCCTAAATAATTGGCATATCAATGACATGAATTTTTAATTTTGTAATTTTTCTTATTATTAATATTCTTTTTTATACTTCTCTTAAATATTAATTTTCAAATTTTCAAATCATATTATTTTTTAGTAATGTTTTTTATGATAAATTATTGTTAGTACATTTGAATTTTACATATTGTTCGAGACAAGTTTACAGTAAATCTTTTTTTGATCGTTTACTAATTTATTATAATAAAAGAAGTATATAAACTTGGTATAAAAACATGAATTTACAGAAGTTAGACTCCAAACATAAATTTTTTGAAATAGTAATTTTTAAGAGTTTTAAAAGTTTTAAAAGTAAGCATATAGACCTGGTCTAAAAACTTGATAATAATATTACGTGCTAACCTTTGGCCATCTTCGATATTTTGGCAAGCATCACTCCTACAATGGCATAAACATTGTCAGCTACAATGTTGAAAAACTTGAAATAAGTATGCCGCCAACAAAGGATTAAACTCCCCCAAAAGTCACTGATAAATCCAAAAGTCATGCTCACTAATTATACATACTGATTAAGCTTTTTTAATTTATACTATGCTTGTCGTTTATAAAAAAACATTTATTAGATATTATGATTTACAATTTAATTATGAAAAAAAAGACAAGAAAGTGCACTTCTACATTAACAATTAATATTACCTTGTCATTAGCAAAATAATTAAACTTTAGTTAGTATTTAGAAACAATTTGTCAAGACGATATGATTACCATAAGATTACGTAGTTTTTTTTTTTTATTGAAAGTTATTATTTGACATTACTTATACAATATTTTTTATTAAGAAAAACCTTTGACAGTAGCAAAATTATGTCTATTTGGCATAAAGAAGCATACAAAATGGCAAGGATAAAACATTATTACAAGCAATTCTCTGTATCAACCCCAGTACTTGATAAGTTTAATTGCAACCATGACATATACAGTGTCTATTAAATTGTTCAAGAACTTGAAATAAGCATGCCTCCAAGAACGCTTAATCAAGATTGACCCAAAGATCCCCAAAAGCCTATAACAAATCCAAATGTCGTGCTAATGTAAAATCCACGAGTGAAGAGCGAATCATCTTTTTCTTGAATTGGTTCTTGCGGTGGTTCCCCTTCAACACACAGTTTCTCAAGTGGCGCCCCACAAAGATCAAAATTATCTTCATAACTGGAAGCATTGAAACTTTGTAATTGTGTACCAGTTGGAATTGCTCCACTTAGATGGTTATGCGACAAATCTAACATGCTGAGTCGATCAATTTGAGTAAGACTCCAAGGAATTGAACCAACAATTTGGTTTCTTGATAAGTCAAGAAATTCAAGTGATGCAAGCTTTCCAATATTTGAAGGAATTTGTCCTCTCAAATTGTTTCTTGATAAATTCAATGAAATCAATTCAAACAAATCCTCTATTTCTGCTGGAATTTCTCCTGAGAAGTTGTTGCTAGAGAGATCAATGCTTTCTAAAAGGAAAAGCCCATAATTCGTGAACACTTATTCCGCACCTTTCCACATTAAGATTGCATTCAAATCATAAGATATATCTCCTTCCTCATAACTCGTGTTGACAAAATATGAATGCTGTGGATAATCCTTCAAGGAAGTCTTTCGAGCCATTGAAGTGAAATTTTGGAAGCATTTAGGAATTTGTCCAGAGAAATTATTGAGGGAGAGATCCAAGAGTTGAATGCTTTTTAGATAACAAATTTGTAATGGCAAACTTCCAGAGAATTGATTCCTTGATAAGATTAAAATTTTGTAAGACTTGCAACGTGCTTCCAATCCAATTAGGGATAGGTCCTGATAGTCCATTTTCTGCCATATCTATCATTAACTTTGTGCAACTTCTTAACGAGAAAGGAATTTCCTCTGTTAAGTTATTGTTTCTCAGTAGCAGTGCTTGAAGTTGAAGAAGTGATCCTATTGAAGTAGGAATCTTTCCTGAAAATTTATGACTCAAATCTAAATAAACTAGTGACTTGAAGTGGCTCCAACAATCTGGAATTTGTCCAGATAATTCATTATTTGAATGGTATAGTCTGTATAAAGTTTCGGCTACACCGCTGGCACATAAAAATGGAAGAGAACTTGAAAATTTATTGTTTGATAGATCAAGAAACATTGAACGTCGTAGAAATGGTGGTATTGGACCTTCAAATTGATTCGATGCCAGAATTAGAGAATATTGAGGATTCTTTAGTGGAAAATTTGGAACTACATCTATGAGATTGTTGTGTGAAATATTCATTCTCATCGACTCTTGCGATGCTAATTTAGCCCAAAACCACCGTGGAACAATATCTGATATTCCAGCATCAGAAATGTCAATAGTTCGGTAGTTATCTTGTGTTTGCAACCATTTGGGAAATGCTGGACCTAGCTTGCAAGATCTGAATTGTATGTAGCTCAACTGAAATGGTGGGACCCAATTGTGGGTAAATGCCAAGGCCAATGAGTTATCAGACAAGTCCAATGAATCTAACTTTTACATATGAGCAAAGTGGGAGTCAGTGATCACACCTTTCAAAGAGTTTTCTTCAAAGTACAATGCTTTTAAAGATGGGAGCAGTGGATGGAGGTTGGGCAGAGTGCCGTTGATTTGATTCATGCGTAGATCTAATACTTGCAATGAGTATCTAGCATATCTTGACAAGTGATGGATTATCGTTGGAAGCTCTTCACTCAAACTATTATTGGACGGGTACAGTGATTGCAAAGTACCTGCATTTTGAAATGAATTTGCAACTCCACTCTCTTTCTTCAATTGATTGAATGATAAAACGCTGCTTTTAGGAATCGATTCCCTGACAGCCAAACTCTCTTGAATTTTGAAAATATTGAGAAGATATTGTGCCATTGATTTTGTTGCCATTGAGATTTATTTCTCGCAGTGAATATCTAGAACACCCAGAAAAGTTACAAAATATCTGTGTTACTTCTTCGCTCAAACTATTGTGAGAAAGGTCCAACGAATTCAAAGTACATGTGCTCCCAAATGATTTTGGAACTTCACCTTCTAACGAGTTTGACCAGAGGGAAAAAAAATTGCATTTGAGATGACAATGTGGTACCTTGTGGTATCCTTCCACTTAGTTGATTTCCAGAAAGATCTAACATTTCTAAAGATGAGAATATTAAGAGGTGAGGTAAAGAGCCAGTGATTTTATTAGATGATAGATCTAACTCTTCTAGTAGTGAGTTTCTAACACAACCACTAGACAAATCATGAAGAATTGATGGAAGGTCTTCTGTCAAATTGTTGCCACGCAGGTATAAACAACACAGGGTGCATATATTCATGAAGGATTTCAAAACCTCATCCTTGAATCTATTATAGGAGAGGTCAACCCGGTGGAGGGAATTCATTACCATGCCAAAATGATTTGATGGGGGAGCCTCCAAGAGATTACCACCAAGGTCAAGCTCAACAAGATTGGAAGTAATGTTTGACCCCCATTGGAATATGATAGATGATGCGATGGTGTTTTCAGAGAGATCCAAGACAGAAAGAGAAGTAGAAACATTGAATTTAGAAGGCCTCATTGAAAGGAGAAAATTATCTGAAAGGCCACAATCAGATAAACTTAGTGCTTTTAGCTTTGGAAGCTTGCCAATCATTTGCGGCCAATAATGAGAACCGTTGAGAGAGCAAGTGAAGATGGGTTAAAGAAGTGAGAGTAGACAGCCACTGACCTCCACCGTGATTCCCATCATCCATTTTGAGAGCACCGTAATATCCATCAAGGTAAAGATTTTGAAAGTTGAACAGGTTCCCAAGCTGAGATGGTATATTTCCTTCTAAATGATTGCCCCTGAGATCAAGATGCTGCAACGTGGAGAGATTTCCAAGCTGAGATGGTATATTTCCTTCTAAATAATTGCCACTGAGATCAAGATGCTGCAACATGGAGAGATTTCCAAGTTGATAAGGGATTGAACCCCCCAAATAATTCCCAGAAAGATTTAGGTATTTCAAATGTGAGAGAGACCCAAATTGACTTGGAATTTTTCCACCAAAACGAGACTGTGAGAGATCAAGGGATCTCAAGTTGTGAAGAGAAGAGAAAACTCAGGGATATGGCTCTCTCGAAAATAATTACCACTGAGGTTCAAATACTGTAATTGTTGCAACTCCATCAATGACTTGTGAATCTCACCACCAATATAATGTTGCGAGGTACTTTCATAGTACCTACGGAAAGCATATTGACAGTTAAACTCTCCGTGAAGGTCGAGCATGAGTACGTGGGCAGTGAGGTTGCTGCAACGAATTCCCCTCCATTGGCAACAATCTGGAGTGGTCCATGATGAGAGCATGTTGTAGTCATCCACAAGTGTAGCCTTGAATTGAAGGAGTGCTTCCCTCTCTCTTTGTATGCATCTAATTGCCTGTTTGGGAGAGACAATCTGCAACACCAAACACAGCATTATTAATATGCCTTTCATCATTTTGAAAATATTATAATTAATATAAAAATTATATCTATCATATATTTTAAATAATGGATAATGTGAAAATTTTGATATTGTACTACAATACCTTTTTTCTTTGAATTAATTGTAAATAATGATGGTCTGACACCTCCAGAGTTGATTAAATATACTCTTTTAATTCTCTGTCAATATGAAGCCAATTAAAGTTCAACTTGGCTTTTGAAGATGAATAATATCATTTACTTGTACTCAAATAAACACGTGAAATTTTGTTTTTCACTTGGAACGTAAAAGAACAGGTATATTGCAAAATTGGAATTTAAAAACCTTTATTTTAGTATCTAACAATATTTGACCGCAAATTATGGTGTATTTAGGCTTTACTCAGTAGAACGAACGGAAAGCAACTACCTTCTAATCGTAAAGCTAACTTAAAGCTCTAGACCTATATTTGAAAGTTTATAGTTATATTAGTTTGTGAAATTAAAATTATTTGATAAATAAAAACAAAAAGGATAAAAAATAAAATTAATAGAAATATTAGTAATTAATTTTTAAAAATTGAACATTTTTTTAGATAATTTTTAAAAATTACAAGCTCCTTTAAATTTTATTTTTATTAAAGAATTCATCAAGTTTATTGAACAAGTCATTAATTACAAATTTCTAAATCAGTTAGAAATTATTTTTGTCATGCAGAGCCTTAAGCAGAAGTTTAGAAACATTTAAAATTTTAACAAAAACTAATTCTTAGAACTATGAACCCAAATTTTACCTATTCCTATGTTTTTAAAATATAATTTTCCTTTCTTTTCATTTCATTTTAATTTGCCTCTACTAATTTTCTTTTTATGAAGCTGAACCTTCACCGTCATTTGGTTCTGGACGGAGAAATAGTAGTTCAACTACGAACAAATAATTCCTATTTTAGTCCTTTCTTTCTTTTATTTTTATTATTTTAATAAAAAAATTCAAAAAATAAAATAAAATATAGAAACAAAAATAAAACAAGAAGAAAAATAAATTATTAAAAAAATTTGTAGAGCACCTGTTAACAACAACCGTCCTTAGGGTTTTATGAAAGGTAGAAAACGTAAAAATCTTTGAATAAAAGCAAAGTAGGATTCAAATAAGATGTGTTATAACATTTCACAGCAAACACACGAAATGAAAAGGCAAATAAAAACCGAGAAGAGTGGGAAATGAATAAAATTGAAGTGTTTAAAAATCAAAACAATTTCCTAACTGAATCAAGTAACACTTCCTCTACTCTTTCACATATGTAGATTCTAATGACCAATTTTTAATTGTATTTTTTAATAAGCATACGCACACTTAATAACAGAACATTATCATAATGATCAAATTGAAAATCAATAATAAGAAAAACAATAGAATAATTAAATCAGAGAATGCATTTGCATATCTCAAACACGAGTCTTTTTCTTCTTCTTATTATTATTATTTTATTTTATTTTATTTTATTTTTTGTCCTATTTTACAAAATCAGAAAAAAGCAATTTTGTTTTAAGAATAACAAAATTAGTCTTAATAAATGCAGTAAAATAATATTTGACTTCCTAAAATAGAAATAAAACATTACAAGAAAATAAACAAAATAATAATAATACTGAAGAATATCACAAATTTTGTTTGATCTAGGTAAGGAACAGAGAGACACAAAGAGCAAAGATGATGAGAATCAAAGAAGGTACATTAAAGACAAAAATAAAATTACTCCAAATATTTTAGATAATGAGAACCACTCAAACTTAGCTCAATTATTTTTCTTTGTAAAACATTGAGTTCACTTGCTAATCCGAGTAGAGATCCAAAATCTTGTGTTTCTGATAAAATACAATAAAAAATTGTATTTTAATATTATTTTTTTAATGAAAAAAAGCTTAGTAAAAAAAAAGAAAGATATAAATACAAAATATTTTTTATTTTGGTTAATGAAAGAAAGCTAAAAACAAAAATATGTTCATAAAAAAGTTATTCTCAAATAAAGAAAAAAGAAAAAAACTAATCTTACTATTAAACTATATACAAATTAAAGTTGTTTAGCCACTTATGTATCTCATGGCGATGAGGCTGTAACAGTTACTGTAGTAGATTCAATTAGCAGTTAATTAGACACTTGTATTCAATTATTACTAGAAGGAACTATATGCATACAGTGAATAAATAACTATCATTACAGTAAATTGAAGAGTGGGAATCGTTTCACTTGCGATCTTTTACATACACAGAACACATGGAAATGCAAACTATTGGAAGAAGATTATTGATAACCATAATACAAAGGCGTAATAAGCAGAAAAAATTATGTGAAAAAAAAAAGCAAATTGAAATAATTGGGAAAGTAATTATAACATTATAAATTACCATCATAACTATTTAGTGAATTGCTGGTAATATGTTATTGCTTAGATGATAATTACACTCGAATTTAATATTTATTTAAAAAATTATGCATAATATATAAAGCTTTTATTCTTGAAATTATTAATTTTTTCTGAAAATGCACTAGTTTAAGTTTGGAGTCAAATTAATTATCGAAAAATTTTCATTACTAATTAGCGAAGCAAGTTTAAGTATTACTCACAATTAAATAATTATTATATTTTATAATTTTAAAAATTGGGCTCATTGTAGTTGAATTAGATGTTATATTTTCATTTTTTTTATTAATTTCTAAAACTTCAAACATTAACAAAATATTTTATTTTACAAATTTATAGAAAAATACAAATTTTATTAAAATATTTCATCTATCTAATTAAAGTGCAAGTATATAATGAACCTAGGTATTGATATACAGGTACCTGTTGGAAAATTTGATTCTTCTAAAGTAAATGGGTTAGACTTTAAATGATAAACTATATATATAGTCATTAATTAAAAAATTGATGATTAAAAATATGATAAAATATATAAGCGTGTATAATCAGTTATTGATTTATTAAAATATCAATTATTTAAGATTTATAAATAAACAACTTCTTTCTATCTATAATTGTACTTGCTTTTTAAATATATTTGTGTCTTTAAATAGCTACATTTCTCATTAGACATAGGTACAAACAGGTATTTGTGTGGATATAAATTCAATACAAAAGTGATATTTTCTCAAATGCAAATATGAATATTATAAATACTTCAGTATCATACTCTATAAAATTTTTGTTGAATAAGCTACTTGATACATAAAATTCCATTATTTACATATTTAAGTTGTAATCTTAGATAAGACTTTGTTTTTTTAAGTTCTTTTATCTCAAATTCTTTCTTTAAGCAACTTGTAATATCTAAAAATATCTTTAAAAGTTTTAATGATATTTAAATCATCAATACAACAAATAGCAATTATAACACATTGTCAAATTTTTAAGAAAAAATATATGAATAAATGAGATCATTTTTATATCTTTCCTTCAACAAATATTTATTAAGGCAATTATATTACATGAGTCTAAATTATTTCAAAATATATAAAGTAATTTATTTTACTTTATTAAATAACATTCTATATAATTTGAATTGTATGTTTCTTGCAATTAAAACTTCTATTGAGTTTTATATAAATATCATTATCAAGTAAGTCATATAAATAAACTATAAAAATATCCATTAAATATAAATCAAGTTCTTCATGTATTGCTAAATTGACTAAATATCAAAAAGTATTTTGATCAACTAGAAATGAATATGTTTTTTTAAAATAAATGTTAGGTTTTTGCAACAAAAAAAAAATCTTGAGAAACAAGTCATATTTTATATTTTACAATTTCACTTTTCTAATTTTGTTTTCACACAAAATTCATTTATATTCAACTGACTTTATATCCTTAGGTGAACTATGAGTCCAACAACTTGATATGTTACAAACAACTTTAATTTTGCCTCAATTACATCTTAACTATTTTTACAAGTATTTAAAAAGTCTTATTTTTTAAAAGTAATATAGGGTTTTTAAATTAAGTTTTTAAAATTATTATCTCATAAGGATTATTTTTTAATTATTAAAATTTTTTAATTCAATTGTTTAAATTTAAAAGATATAAGATTAACTAGAACAATAATTTAATTATAAAATTAATTATAAAAATTAGAACAAAAAATATAATATACATATTAGTTAAACTTATCAGAGAGCAGCTTAGAGCATATAAATTTTCTCATTTAATCTTTCATATTATTTTTTTTTTCATTTAACTATAAATTCAATTACTTTATAATTAGTAATCATTCATGGAGATATTATAAATATAGACAATTTCTGCGGAGGTAATTACTGTGCGTTTTTTAGTGTTAAATGTGTGTGCAGACAGGAAAGCGCTGTCATCATAATTAAAATTTCTGCGATGCCTCCTGTGATGAGTAGTATGCTTTCCTTTTGGCAAATGTAGCTGCTTGTTAAACCCAAGATTAGGGAGAGTTGAGATATCATTCAACTGCACCTCCACAAACTAAAAGGACTATCATTTGAATTGGAAATTGATTTTCAGATGAACCAGGTGCAATCTGGGTTAAGGCTTGCCCGGTCATTGATTGCTGAAAGGGACTTAGAGATCCAACATGTTCACACGACCAACAAACAGGTATCTTGTAGAATTTACTAACTAGTATATGGCCTTTGACTATAAGGTGCTTACAGTGGAATTGTTATAATAAACATAATAGTATGTAGAAGAGAATGAAAGACTAAGCTATTTTAGGAGAATGGAGCACCCGGCCTGCCAAGGTATCATTCATAATTGTAATTAACCGTTATCAAGTGTTAAAATATATTTTTGGGTGGGCTTTGTCCTTGTTATACTGTTCTGCTGAAAACCTTTTTATTTTTTTATATAATGAAAGCTTGAGCGGGCACTGGAGGCTGAGCGGATGTCAAATCTTGAACTAGAGAGGAAGATTTCAACGCTAAGAAATCACTCACATACCTCAGCAGAAACACAGAACAAGGTGTTCAATCCACTTGCCAGCAAATCCATCTAAATTCCCAGCTCAGTCAAGCATTTAACCTCGTCTTTCTCACGATTTAAAAATCGTAGACGTGTCTACAATACCATCATCATTATAGAGATCCAATGTAGATGTTAGTTCAAATAGGGCCTTATTTTTGTTTGTTAATAGAAATATTTGATGATGTAATTTGATTGAGTTATGATAGGGTCTTATTTGCTGCATAGTTACAAGTTTCCCGCATATTCTTCGAGGAAAATAACAGGAGTGCTCCGAAGTTTTTATTTTTACCATCTCTAACCGAAGGAAAATTAAGGCATGCACATGGCATTGCTCAAACCCCTTAGCCCATGAGAAAAGGCATTCCACAAATCTCAATCAAGTTTAGATACTGATAAAAAAAATATTTACGTCATCCCAACTCCACCATATATCCATACACAATTCTATTCTTAACTAAAACATGATCTTATCCATCCAATGCACTTGATTTTTGTTCGATTCAATCGGGTACAACCATTTTGCTCACCCTTAGTTTGTCTAAATAATTCTGAGATAAATAATTTCATCCCAAATGCACTAAAGAATTAGTTCATTTAAGATGTATCAACTGAGCAAAGTTTGATTTCCTTATGATTGTGTTGACAATGTTAGATATTGCGAAGCAGTATTGGCATGCTATCTTTAACTTGCTAATTAAAGAGGGGAGCACAAATAAATTGTAAATATTTAACAACTAACTGATTTATGATCATCTTTGTCTCTATAACAATGAACTTACTACATGATATTCGTACGTGGTTTATAGCAACTTCTTACTTATCTTCTACATCATATCAACTTGGAACAATAATCACAATACAAAGACCATCTTTAATCTTCTATACTGGAATATGACGAGCGGGGTGATTGTTGCAGGGAACCATATTTTATGCAATTTAGGCTACAGTAGGATAAGATGCACAGGTTGCAACACCTGAAAATATACACAGCAAAATCAATATTACAAATTGATTCATATTAAATTTATAAATTAAGAATTTCAGCTTTTCTATCAACAGCTCTAGGAAGGCGAAAATTTTCACCAAGAGATCAGAGAGATGAAGATTTCAATTGGACATTCTTCTCACAACCTGTTTCCCTTTACTAAACTTCGCCAATCTGCAAACTAGTAAAGGACAATTGCCTGAGGTCTAATTTTAACTTATGCCTTGTTAATAACAAGTGTTTTAAGTATATTGATCAAGGGATTGATAAATAATTTTTTATTAAAAATTATGTTAGAGGTACATTGGAAATACAATGAAAGTGCATTAATAATAATTTTTGATAAAAGATTTTTACTTTTGATTCTTTCACCAAGGACAATGATAGTTTGTCTTTTAACTTGTGTATTAAGGCAAGGTATGCAAAGTTTGAATGGGCTCTAACGGATCCCGACCACACATGTTCTTTCCTATCTCCATCTTGAAGTAGCCGTTGTCACCCCAGTCCTCTCCCAAGGAATTTTTAATGAGCCAATATGGGACACCATCTTCCACTCCATACCCAACAGCGGCATGATTCACATCCTGCCAAGCAAATTCAGATTTTGACAACTCTCCAATCACCAAAATGGAATTGCAAAAGTATGCAACTTGAGCATTTTTAACACATCAAATTGTTTAGTATGTGCGATGCTAAAAGTTGTATGATGCATTGGCAGAAGATCAAAGCATAAAAGCTTCTAGCAAACCATTTAGTTTTGAAATTTTTATTAGACAATTGACTATGCCATGTAATCTCTAATAGAAAAACTCACCTGGGAAGTGCTACCGCAAGTGTCACTGGTGTATACTCCTTTCTTGTAGTATCGGAAACCATCCGCCACCTCAAATGCCACACTAACTGGCCTAACAAGTGCAACTGCATGTTTTAACTCATCCTCAGCACCCTGTACTCCAAACATAAGACAAAATATTAAGGGCATGTTTTGATGCACTTTAAAATCTTAAAGAATTGTTTTCAATTCATTGTAACATGATTTTCTTAAAATTTTAATGTTTGGTTACTTTTGACTAAAATTGATTTCATCTTCCAACCAATGTTAGAATCACAATGATGAATTGTAATTTTTACATTGATTTAAAAGTTTTATACTGAATTTTATTACAAACTTACTTTTAAGAGAACAAGCTTTCAACTATAAATCGTGTTACTTCAAACTTACTTTTAAGCAAAATTAATTCTACAAAGTCAAGTTGATTCAAAGTTTGCAATGGCTCACCCAAACACACTCTCATGTAAATGCAGTTGAGCAGTATATTAGAAAACTCATTTTGAGGAAATGAGAGAAATTGGTCTGTTTAATTACCAAGGAGATGTTAACAGAGTTAAGAACTTGAACAGTAAAATTTTCAGCTGACAACTTGCAGACACCATCTGTTGCAGTGTAGGGATATGCTTCCTCTGTCTCAAGTCCACCATTGTATTTAATGTACTCAAAGGCACAAGATGGCATCCACCATGACAGCCAAAGTTATTGAAATGACCAGCACAATATTGATAGTTGCTGCATACTTACAAGTTTCCCGCATATTCTTCAAGGAAAATAACAGGAGTGCTCCAAAGTTTTAATTTTTACCATCTCTAACTGAAGAAAAATTAAGGCATGCACGGCATTGCTCAAACCCCTTAGCCCATGAGAAAAGGCATTACACAAATCTTTCTCTCGTGTTACAATGGGCTAACCTGTGAAAATTCATTCAAAAAGAGACACCTGAACACATTGTTGAAGAAATCACAACCCTTGGCAATACCTCCCTCTCCAACCACAATCTCCCTCTCATATTTGCAAGCTCTTGTACAATCCGGGAGTAAGTCACCTGGATAAAAGGAAATACATGTGTTACACACAATTCCATAATTCACCCAGCCAAAAAACAAATAACTCAATACATGGACAGAAGACCATTGCTTTATTTACAAACCTCTAGTAACTTAGGTTGGAAAGAGCTGTCCAACATGACATCTACACCGTACATTGCCCTTGATGTTGGACTATGCATCTCAGGATGTGCAGCAGCAGCTGCTTCAAACACGGATTGAATCATATTCCTTACTCTTGCATGTATGTACAACCATTTAACTGAAAGAGATACAGGGCCAGGAATTATATCAAGAATTCATTCAAAATGTAAACCATGCTCTGGAAGCCTCTAAAAACTCATCTTTAAATGCGGCAGAGGATAAACATGGGGCAGTCCCATTACCTTGATGTTCTTCTTCGCATTCCCTCACAAAATCCTAAACATTCTTGTGATTTATTCTTCCAGGATAATTCTGAGATCCACACACTGACTATGTTAAACTTGTTGAGAAAAGGAAAGTATTAAAATATTAATACTTCAACCAAGTTTTCAACTGACTCAGGACATACCATAACAGTGAAGTGAGTTTCATATTCAAAAGAACTACTTCAGTCCAAAGAATATTGGTTGTTGGCTATTCTAACCTGAAAATAAAATATAAAACCTTCTGCCATTATAATCTTTATGAGTATCACAATGAAATAAAGAAAAAGGCTTAACAAACTTTATTCAGAGTATATATTAAGTTACTCATACTCAAGCCCAGAAGAAGAATCAGTATACCCAGAAACAATCTGACAGGAATATCTCAAAAGGGTGCATGCTCTGAACCAGTACTATGCATCGGTGATAAAACTTTTTCCCTTGGAACAAAGCTGGTTGTTCAATATACTTCTGGCAAATCTTAGGACCAGTTTCCATGAGCCGGATTATTGCAGGTAAATTATCAGTTACAGTAGTATCAATTGTTCGGGCCATGTTCCAGGGTTTCAAGATCCAAAGATTGTCTAGTCCTTCTCTTTTGCATACACAATAGTTACCAATAAGTTGAGATAGATGTGTTTCAAGATTATAAGTAGGCTGCAACAATTGAGGAAATCCATGTGCCTGTAGCAAGGTAAACCAACCCCCCCCCCCCCAAAAAAAAAAAAGAAAGAAAGAAAGAAAGAAAGAAAATATGATTTCAAGTTATCTCAAAGAGCCTCACTTGGAAAAGAAAACAAAATAAATTTGTTGCATGCCAGGATGAATAAGTATGGTTCAACTGTATTTCACTAGAAATGGATAATGGACATTGGTCCCTCATTTAGGATAATCTCATTGGCATCATCATACAATGTCAGTTAACAATTATTACCTTCTGAATTGTCTCTGCTAAATGATGTTTCATAACAAGACATGCCTCAAAAGGAAATTGATTAATGTATTGCTGATCCGTTATTCCAGTGGGACTTTCTGGAATCCTCATCTACCTGCACACTTGTCCACATTATATCTGCATCTTTTGGTTCCTTGGCTATATGCATACAAACATTCACAAAAAAAAAAAATAAAAAAATAAAAAAAAATAGAAGGTCAACATTACAAAGTATAGCTTTTTAAGAAATGTTGACAACCACAAAATATCATCCAAGGGAATTCTCCTCCAAAATAGAAAAGGTTGAATCCAAACAAGGAAAGTTTAATAAGCTCTTCACATGAAGATTGGCAGATATTCAAAATGTTCTAGTGACATAATAATTTGACTATTAATCATGAAGTGTTGCAAAGAACAATAAAAAAATTAAGAGAAAGTTGAGGCGTGCACATATTGAACTTACCGATTGCAAACTCAGGATGTGTCAAGTATTCCTCTACATGAGGTATATCTGCATAAACACGAAAAGGACGCCTATCAGGTTGACAAATACTTTTCCTGGAAGACTGAATAGTGGGAGGTATTAAACTCGTGGATTGCAATTTCTGATTGTGCTTCTCATATGCCTGGAAGCAGTATATTAATTAGCTCTGAATTTTTAACCATAAATCAGAAATCATAATCTATCTAAGCAAAAGAAGGAATACTTGAATAAAATAGTTCTGTGGCATGCGGAACCATGCAGTAAGCCTGGAAGAACTATGTTTAACCTCCCCTGTACCAAGAAGAAAATCACAAGTGCATTCTTCATCCTTCTGAACATTCTGTGTTGGCCATAGAATAGAAAAGCCATTAGACATTATGCAAAGTACAATTATACGGTAAAGCAGCAGTTACATTCATAGAGCATGAAAATATGACCTCCACATCAAACCACAAATCTGAAAATAAAAAATAAAGAAGATAACCTTACAGCCGATGCCAGATTGCCCTCTGGCATGAAAAGAAAAGGTGCAACTCTGAAATTTGGCTCATCACTATGCCGCAAAGCTGAACCTAGTTCATCCATCACATACCTAAAAAATATCCAAAACAATGCGCTGTTCAAGTTGTTTAACGAAAAACACAATTAAAATATATTCAAAGAGAATAATTAACAGTTAGCCAAAAAAAATTAACCATAAATGCCAAATTGGGTTCAATTTTTCTTCAATTGGAAATGTATTCACCAAACTTTTTAATATGTTTAGTCCCCGAGAAAATTATTCTGTGAATGTATCATGTCTTAAGGAGATTACAGACAAATCAGAATGCTATTTTCAAATTTGAAGGAAAAATAAAAAATCTATTCAACAAAACTATCTGGAAAATACCTAATTCCAGGTTCAGAAACAGAACAGCATAATCTTGGAAGGAATCGCAAAGTGAATGTAAATACTGATAATCTCCAACAAAATAGAGACACCCTGCCCAATGATAACATTCCTTTGATCCACATTTGCCCATTACTTAAGGCATAATGGTAGAAGGCCATGTCTAACCACTGTTCTGCAATAGCACTTCAATAAACAGCAACAGGCATTTCTGCATTTCTGCTTTCATGATAAGATTTTTTCAAAGATGAAGTACCCATGGACAAGCTCTGACCAAGAACTTTCTTGACGCGGGCAGCTTCCCCAGGCATTCCAGCCTTCAAAAGAAAGGATCTTAAATTATTTACAGTGATTTCATCGGGGGCACAACTAACTGCCAACATCTTATCAAAGACACCAATTGCTTCCCACATTCTCCCTTTCATACAATGCCCAATAATAAGAATCGTATATGTCAACTTATCAGGCTTGCAACTATTCCCCTCCATTTCTGCGACAATGTTATTAGCCTTGTCAACATTGCCGGATTTGCAATATCCATCAATAACAGGATTATAGATAAATGGCTGTGGAACAACGCCACTCTGATTCAATAGTCTCAAAATGTCACGAGCTTCACTTAGTCTGTTATTATTGCATAGGCCACTAACGAGAACAGAAAACGTATACAAACTTGCAGAAATATTTCTACCATTCATTTCACGCCACATTTCCATCGCGAGTTTCACCTGTCCAACTCGAAAATATCCATTAATCAAGGAAGTGAAGGTAGCAACATCAGGAGGACAACCACAAAAAACCATCTTCTCATACATGGCCAGCGCAGAACCCATGTCCCCCAACTTACCAAAACCATCTATAAGAGCATTAAAAGTAAATGTATTAGGCTCAATTCCACTCCTAACCATTTCATCAAAAAGTAAATTCCCTTCCTCCATTCTACTCAACTTGCAATAACCCAATATGACCGTCGTGTAACTAACAACATCAGGAACCAACTCCCTCTTCAAACAAACTTCATTCAATAAACCTCTAGCTCTATCTACCTCACTAATTCGACACATTCCATGCATAAGAGTATTATAACTAACTACATCCGGCAAACAACCAAAACTCCTTAAATCCTCAAGAAGCCTAAAAGCCTCATTAATTTCCCCGGCCCTGCACAACCCACGCATCAAAATATTAACCGTGTGCGTCACCGGTCGATACTGGAACCTAACAAGCTCCCTAAACAGAACAACAGCATCACCTACCCTATTCTGTTTAATCAAAATGTTGAACAATTCATTATACACAACAGCATTGACTCCAATACCACCATTGCACTGAACATCAACAAGCAATTCCTTGGAAACATCAAACCGACCGGCGAGCGCATATGACGAAACCAAAAACCCTAACAACCAATTATCAGGAATCTGTCCATCACACCTCATCCAATGATACACCAATCTAGCGGAATTGTGAAGATTGGATTCACAAAGAGACCTCAAGAGGAAACTGTAAGTCCAATAAGAGTGATTGTTAATGCGCAACTTGTTTCTGCTGAACTCGAAAAACTTGAAACTCAATATAGGAACGTTGAGCTTATTAACGACGTCGTAAACAAGCGAAGGGGTTAGGTGCTTACTGAAATAGCCGAAGAAGCGTTCGAGCGAGTTGGAGCGAACGACGATGGTGCAAGCGATCTTGACGAACCAGGCTTCGGGCCTTTTGATCGAACCCATGGGCTCCCAAGCGATAATAGTCGTTGGCTTCGCCGCAAATGCAGCTGGTTCGATTTTTTATTCTGCGGTTTGGGTCACGGTTATATGGCCGGTGAAACTGTTGGACGAACAGGACTCGTCTTTGATGCGGGCTTTAACCATACCACACTCTTATTTAACGAAAGTATTGAGAGCGAATTAAATCCTATTTGGAACAACAACATAATTTTGGAATCTAATTCCCAATAGGTTAAGGAGAGACTGCGTTTTTAATTATATGAATTATTCCTAATTTCTTATGCAATTATATAAATGAAGGGAAGTGAAACTAATGTTAAAAAATTGTATAAACTAAAAAATTGTAAAATATAAGAGAAGTGAATGTAATTTATGTATATATATATTATATATAATAAAATATTTAAAGAATAAATTAAAATTGATTGGTTAAGTCTCTAGGGTAGATGTTACCTCTAGTGTACAACGCTCTGTTAGTAAACACACTCCAATTTCTGAACCTTCTCTGTTTCTGTATCATGGATCATGCATGCATCATTTTTATGTAAGCCTAGCTTTCTCGATATACTGCACGAGGCTCCTCTGTTCGCTCACCGCAAAGGGTCAAGGGTTGCTGCCAGTGTTTTCTATTGCATACTATTGGCAAGTTTGAATCTTTTCATCATTTCAATTAATGGGTCGATGGCCGATTTGCCAACATTTGATGATATTGATTGAATTGAATTGAATTCTAAAAGTTTGATTTTGTTGTGTTTGGCTTTGATTGTGGTGTGAATTGCTTATTTATTGGTTCCTTCCATTTTAGGCAGGTCATGCTGCTTTGGCCATAGGAGCTCAATGGATATTTCATCCCGTGCAAGGACTTATCTCTCCCCTTCTTTGTAGTTGTGATGTCCTTTTGTTGTTAACAGGTTTGCATTGCTGGAACAACATTGAATTATGTGTTCTTAATTCTTATTTTAAGATAAGCATTTTTTTTAATTGGTGCACTGTGTGGTAGCATGTTGTGGATGGCTTTTGCTATTGGACTTTAATTCTTTCTGCTTGTTTGAAAAGTCTTTCTTTTCTTATTTCCCCCCACTGGGATCTTCAGAAGAAATTATACTGGCTAGCTGATTTAGCTTTTCTCTAATGATTGATTTTATATCATATAAATATATTTGTTTATTTTTGGTTAAATTACTCTCTAACATTTAGTAGAATCAAACACAGGTGCAGACAAATGCTCTGGAGTTTACATTATCATTAACGGTGAAGTATATAACTAATAATATTATTGTATGTAGCTTAATAAATAGCAGTTTATTTTTACTATCATTGTAACCTTTTGGTACTTATGCTTAATATTCAACGCATGCAGTTTATTTTGTTTAAATGCCATATTTTTACTGTTTCAGGAATCTTTCAACAATGTCTAGTTTATCAAGTGGCAGAAGATATGGTTGCAGGTAATTCTTTTTATGACAAGTACGTCACTGTTACATAGTTTCTTAATTTCTCTATATCTGTCATTTGCATTTATACACTCGGAATTTTTTTGGAATTTCCTACATAGTTTATTTTAATTTTTTTATTAAATAATTATTTTTATATTCAAATATATTTATTTCTTTTATTAAATGAAATCAATTTGATATTTTAAATTTTTTTAAGTTATATTTTTAATTTTAATAAATTAAATAACTAAATATTTAATTTCTTAATTTTATTATACAAGCAATATTAATGTATAATTTACATTGCACTCGATTATTTAATTAATTATAAGAATTTATGTATAACTTATACTATCTTAAATTCTTTTTTAATATAAAATTTATGTTCAAGTATAAATTTAAACTTTTTATTTTTAAATAAAATATTTTTTAAATTAATAAATTATTTTAACAATTTGTAACATAGTTATGAGATCTTCTTTCATCTTCTATATTATTTATTGTATGATATATATATAACCATATTATCTTATATCCTAAATATTATAATCTTATAAAAATAATTTAAATTTCAAAATAAAGTTTCTTTTACTAAATTTAGAAAGTTTATTGCATCTGGAATATTCATGAGTAGGAGCCAAATGTCGTCAAGTTAAAATAATTTTTAAAATAACTTATGTCCTTAAGATACTATTTTTTTCAATAAATAAATTTTCTTTCTTTAAAAATACATAGTAATAATTATTATTTAGGAATTAAATAAATATTTACAAAACTAAAATAAATTTGCACAGTTAATTTAATGTAACCGTTATTTAAAGGTGTTAATACCTTTCCTACATATAAATAACTTCTGAAGTCATTCTTGTTTCAAAGATCATTAAGTTTTAAAAAAAAAATTAAATGTTTTCTTTAATAAACTTTAGTGGCAACTCTTCTAATTTTTTAAAAAATATTTTTATTCTCAAAAGATATTTTTCTTAACATGTTTCATTATCCTATTGCAACAGTACTCATTCCTGATCTCTCTCCTTCTCTTTCTTCATGATTTTCAATTTTCTTCTTCTTCATTTTTATTTTTTTCCATTTATTCTCTGTGATCTCCATTACTCTTTGCTGAATTTTATTTTATAAATGATTTGTATTTTTTTAACATTGATGAAATTAATGTTATTGATTTTATATTGACTATAAGATATGAAATTATTTTATGTATTCTTAGTTTATATTTCGATATATTAACAATTTTAATTGAACTTAACTGTAATTTTTTTAGGTGATTGAGAAGGAGTAGATTTTTGGTAGGAGAGGATGAAGAGGATGAAGAGGATGAACTAGAATTAGATCTAAGAGAGATATGGGAAAAGAAGTAAAAAAGAGATGAGACATCATAAAAATAAACCTCTGGTTCAACACCCTCGTTTGATTTCATAAAAATGTATTAGATCATTTATAACTTTTTCCTTCTAGATTTGGTTATTTGTAGACTTTTTTTTTTTTACAGAAACAGAAATTTTTTTATTATAGCCACCAGCTTCTTATGTTCTTTAATTTCTTTTGAATATAGTATCATCGAATCAGCCTTACTGCCCTTCATCCACACAGATCTTACTACTGCAGCTCTATTCCAAAGAACTAAGAACTGTTGTGCTTCCAGTAGAGATATTTTAAGAAAAATAAAAGAATCTGTACAGTATTTTTTGACAATTAGTTCGTGGCATTGTTACAAAAAAGGACGACCAATGATATATGAAAAAAAGTTATATATAAACGATCTGACAAGACTCAATGGAGTTGCTTTTAAAGCGAGCGAGTAGTCTTTGCCAAAGTTAGGGGCTGTCAGAACTTAGATAGAAATTTCACAATGAGCGGTATCACCCAAAAGGCCTATTAGCTATCCAGCTTATAAACCATAGTTTCAGAAATTTCAATATAAATTTAAAACTCTAAATCCAGAGGAACATAGTTATAAACGATTCACGAATATATTCCTACTTCCCTATTAGGCTCTGATACTAGAGAATCCAAAGTGGATCTAGGAAATTAAAAGACTGAAAGGAAAATAGGCAGTAGTAGGACTACTAAATAAAAACGTAGAAATGTAAAATGTAGAAATGCAAATGCAAAATTTAAATCATAAGAAACCAGAACTGCAGTAGAACCAGCACAGGACCAATAGAGGGAGAAGAGAAGAAAGTTAGACAACGGTAGTATGAACAGAACCAGCTAAAAGGGAAAAGAGAGAAAATACAAAAACTTTTGTTTCTCCTTGTTAAAAATTTGAAAAATGAAATTATTTTAAGAACACCTTTTATAAAATCTCTTTTCCCACTTCAAATTTTAGAAGAAGGAATTTTGACTTGTCACCTAGGCAAGCAAATAACATTCAAATTTTCTAGCAAACCTTATACTAGAATATTAATCTTATTCAAAATAAAATCAATCAAATTAATTTTTTAAAAGAAGATGTTTCTTTTGCTAACATTAATAAACAGTTGAAGAATCCATCACTTTAGAGAAGAATTCAATCTCTTTTAGAATCCATTCAATCTTCTATATATTCTGATCTTCTTCATGTGTTCTAGAATAGAAAGAAACATATAGTAAGCTTACCTTGTGAGAAAGACTTCAAAGAAAGTCTAATTCCTACCAAGGCGAGACTTATTCAAATGAATGAGAAACTCCTTCAATATTGTCAGAAAGAAATTAAAGATCTCTTAGACAAAAAAATTGATTAGAAAGAGTAAGAATCATTAGTCTTGTTCTGCTTTCTATGTTAATAAACAGGCAGAGTTAGAAAGAGGAACTCTCAGGTTAGTAATCAATTACAAACTTTTAAATCAAGTTCTTCAATGGATTAGGTATCCTATTCCTAATAAAAAAAATCTTCTTAACAAACTTAACTTTGCTAAAATCTTTTCCAAATTTGATATGAAATCTAGATTCTGGCAAATCCAGATAGATATAACTGATAGGTACAAAACTGCCTTTATAGTTCTTTTTGGACAATATAAATGGAATTTAATACCCTTTGGTCTAAAAAATGCCTCTTCTGAATTTCAGAAAATCATGAATGATATTTTCAATCCTTATTCCAAATTTGTCATTGTTTACATTAATGATGTCTTAATTTTTTTCCAATCTGTTGACCAATATTTTAAGCATATAAATATTTTTATTAATGTTGTCAAGTAAAATGGTTTAGCTGTATCGAAATCAAAGATCAATCTTTTTCAGACAAATATCAGATTCTTTGGTAATAATATTCATCAAGGAACCATCATCCCAATTAACAAATTCATTGAATTTGTTAACAAATTTTCTGATAGAATCCTCGACAAAACTCAATTATATATAATTTTAGGATATCTCAATTATGTAGGTGAATTTATTCCTCACCTCAATAATATCATTAAGCCTCTACATGATAGGCTTAAAAAGAATCCTCCTTCTTGGACAGACGTTCACACCAACGTCGTCAAAAAAATCAAAACCAAAGTTAGAGAGATAAAATATCTTTACTTTCCTATCCCTCAAGCTTTTAAAATTGTTGAAATAGATGTTTCTGATATAGGTTATGATGGTATTCTCAAAGAAATAGTCGATTCTCATGAGCATATTATTACATACACATCAAAATATTAGAATTCTGCTCAATAAAATTATTCAATTGTCAATAAAGAAGTTTTGGCA